TGATATCATTATCACCCTTATGATATCAATATCACCCTTCTGGTATCATTATCACCCTTCTGGTATCAATATCACCCCTTTTGGTATCATTATCACCGTTCTGATATCAATATCACCCTTCTGGTTTCAATATCACCCTTCTGTTATCAATATCATCTATCTGGTATCATCACCATTTTGGTATCAATATCACCCTTCTGTTATCAATATCATCCATCTGGTATCCTTTTCACCCTTCTAGTGTCATTATCACACTTCTAGTATCAATATCAGCCTACTGGTGTCATTATCACACTTCTGGTATCATTATCACCCTTCTGGTATCAATATCACCCCTCTGGTATCATTATTTTTTCATTTCAGAATATTTATTGTTCAGATCTTAGATACAAAGGAATTGGACAACAGGCAAAGCCTATGAGCACAATCTCCTTACAGTTATAAACATTTTACACACATCTTACTGAATTGAAGTAATGATAAAACATGTATATTATGTACATGAATATTGATATTTGCGTGTCATTATTAAATTTTTGATAATTATTGTACAAAAACTAGATTTTACAAAAAAAGGCAATTAAAATTATGCTGGTGGAGGGCACATAGTACAATTATGTACTTGTATCATTCCACACAGCAAAGTCATGAGATAAACAAGTAAGTGTAATCTAGTTTAAGCGTCTTGTATCTTTAACGAACCTCTGAACCATCTCCAAGATACTTGTATTCATATTGATATCGAGTCTTCGACATCCATAAAGAAAAGTCTGAGTATTTAATGGAATAATGTCATTAAAAGCAGAAATGGAGTTCAGGAGAATTTGCCTTTGATTAGTATACAGAGTACAATGGAGGAAGAAGTGATCACAATCCTACATAACTACATAAGCAGGCAGGGGTATCAATTAGTTGAGATTCAAATAGATCTGAATTCAGGTTACTGGCACAGTTTCTAAGTTGACAAAAGGTAATATTAAATTTTCGATCACCATTGTATTTGAAAATATCAGTACATTGGGGTTGATAATCCATTTCATCTGAGTGTAAAAAATCTCTTTTTATAGATCCAATGGATGTCATTGTGGGATACAGGCAAGTTGGATTATTCCATTCAGACATCAGTTTCAGGAAAAAACTGGCATTATATAACTGAGTTCTTGGTAATATTAGGAACATCAAAAATTCTATTGTGGCGAAGATGATAATTGTCAGTATTATTATTAATGTACGTTTGAATTATATCATAGACATGAGAGGGGCATTTCTTATTAAATATTTTATAAAAAGTAATATTTTGATGCAAATGTCTTCTTCTATTAAGTGTTATAAAACCAGATTCTCTATATAAGATAGCAGGACTTGTTCCACATCTTAACCCTAAAATAATACGTGCTACTTCTAGTTGGATAGACTACAAGAAACTGCATTCATTCTGCGTGCAGTTTGCCCATATGATATTTGCATATTCCAGAATTGGACGTATAAATGTGATATATATAGTTTCGAGTGATTTTCTATCAATTTTGTATTTCAATTTTCTAAGTATATTGATTCTTTTATAAGCTTTTTCATATATATAGTTTATGTGGTTAGACCAATTAGCCTTGCTGTTGAAAAACAAACCCAGGTGTAATCATTATCATTATCATCCCTCTGGTATCAATATCACCCCTTCTGGTATCATATCATCCTTCTGGTGTCATTATCACCCCTCTGTTAAAAATATCATCCATCTGGTATCCTTTTCACCCTTCTGGTATCATTATCACTCTTCTGGTATCAATATCATCTATCTGGTATCATTATCATCCTTCTGGTATCAATATCACTCTTCTGGTGTCATTATCACTCTTTTGATACCATTATCACCCTTCTGGTATCAATATCACCCTTCTGGTGTCATTATCACCCCTCTGTTATCAATATCATCCGTCTGATATCCTTTTCGCCCTTATGGTATCATTATCACACTTTTTGTATCATTTTCACCCTTCAAATGTCATTATCACCCCTCTGGTAACACTATCCCCTCCCCTTGGTGGTATCAATATCACTCTTCTGGTATCATTTTCACCCTTCGAATGTCATTATCACCCTTCTGGTATCATTATCACCCCTCTGGTATCATTATCACCCCTCTGGTATTAATATCACCCTTCTGAGGTCCATACCAGCCTTTTGGTGTCATCACCATTCTTGTGTTATTACCTTTCTTTAGCAATAGGAGAAGTAAGATTAAATAGTGTTTGAATACCTAGATCAGTGATAGGAAGATTATTCTGCATTTACTTATTTCTGGCTTTGTAATCTCTGATATCTGAGTTATTCATACAGAAAATACTTATTCAGTTATGTGTAATGAAGTCAAGCTGTTACATTCATTATTCAATAGTCTTCCAAAATAGGCTGGAACCATTAAGTGCTGACCTTGAGAAGTCACTGATACTCTGTCGCGTTCAGGTCTAACTTTCTACTGTATAGGTTATATTGATCTGTTTATGAGACAGAAAACTTTGTTTACCTGTATCTACCTGATTTACCTGTGCGTACCTGAACAGGTGTGTTGTCTACCTGCTCTAATAAGAATTCAGTCCACACCCTTTGAGTGTACATAAATTATAACAAGTGGAAATTGACTTTGTTTCAAGAGTTTTTTTTGATAATTGACAAATCTGTACGGCCCTTGAGTGTTTGCCAGTGGAGATACAGTTAGAATGAGTGGTTGGGTAGATACAGTAGGAACGGTATAATCTGACATAGACCACGAATAAATTAGTCGCTGGTTACCGTGGTGAAGACATGATACAGTATCAACAGGTTATTACATCGGAGGCTAGTAAAGCATGCTTTCATTGCAAGATCAATGGATTTTCAAATTTTCACATTTGATTGTTTTTTTAAAGGAAAAGGGCTCTGAGTTGGTGTGGGAGAATGGGTGTTGATACAGAGGTGAAATGTCTATGGAGTCTATATTGAGGGTTGCTAAAAAAATTCCAAGTATTTTTTTTAATACAAGGCGATCAAATACTTCAGCATCATATTAAAGAACCATCACATAAGATCCCTGTCTTCAAATGATCTTGAATATGTCTTTAGGTTGCGAGATATCTTTCAGAAGCTGGTTTGTCTTTTCTAGCTTGGTCATTGCTTCAGGGCTTCATACCAGGACCCAACTTTTATTTAGCTCTACCCCCCCCCTCCCCCCATCAAAAACCTAATGTTATATAATATTACTAAATAGTTTAGGGTTTAGCCACTAGTGTTTATGTTAATTTAACTTAAACAAGTTTTTTATAAACTTTCAATCACAAGACATTGGGGAATTTGTGTACTTTCAATTTTAATCCAGACATAATGTTTTTATTACAAAGGGGTACCGGTTCTCAGCAGGTAGGTAAAGATTTGATACGATATCCGACAGAAGCTAGGTCACCACACACAACATAACACCCCATACCAGTGTTAACAGAGTTCTCTCGCAGCTTACTTTTACTTTAAAGAAATGAACATAGGGTTAAGATTTGAGTTTAAATGGCGACAGGTAAGGGAATGCTTTGATTGATATGGTGCTCACATGCAACACGGCTGTTTGTTTATGGATACTGGTGGCGTACAGTCTAATATCTACAGTTACATTTCGTGCACACAACTACACAATGATAGATTGGGCACTCCTTTATGGTAAAACACGGATCAGTCTATGATTTAACAATTTGTAAACTTAACGAGAAAAAATACGCAGTCACTAAAGATCCCAGCCAGCTTGGTGAAGCACTTGCTATTGATAAACAAATATTGTACATTATAGCATACGCCCTTGCATTAAACCAGTTAAATAATAGAAATTTGGTAAGAATTAAAAAAGATAAATGTCAAATATCAAAATAATTATGTATAGCCAACAGGTGAATCAGTGAGGTGGTCCCCTTTGAGTATGGATACCAAAGGATATACTTGGTAACTGGCATAGAATATGTTAATATAAGTAAGGGAGATCCAATCACAACACACCTCAGGCGTCACCAGATTGAGCTGTTTTGGGTTTTGAACTCCTTTACTTATAATTATAAAGAGAGGTGAAACTAACGCCTACATTTAATTCACATCCACTTAAGAACCTGTTTAATGGGTAAATTATGTAATGTGTGGGACATTTCAGCCGAGTCTGTATTAACTTGTCTGATGATTGTTCAATGTTATATGTCTTTATGATCATTCAGTGTATTTTAAAGGGAATAATTTTAAGCAAGAAAAATGCTTTATCTTCCAAGGGAGACTACTCCAAGTCAGTAATCAGCACAGAAGTTGATCTCTATTTCATGGTTATAACTGGTACATTGCTACCCTTTATCTTAACAGAATTCTTATCATCTCTGAATACACAAATGTAGATTTAACTTATGAATCCCTTAAATTCTACATTGAAATATATAAATCGTTTCTGATGTAACATAAAGAGGATATTGTGCTTCTACCAGCGATCGAACCCGTGATCGCCGACTTCCTAGTCGGACACTCTACCACTCAGATAAAGGGAAATTCCCTCAAGCTTGAAGCTAGAAGGTGACCATAATACTGTGTACAATTAAAGTCTACCACACTGGTATACTTGTGGTTAAAGTTGGAATCACATGTGTAGCGGGACTGGATCGGTAGAGCGTCTGTCTAGAGTTCGGAGGGTCCCGGGTTGGAACCCGGTCTGGCTGTGCATTTTTCTTCTCCTGTTACACATGAATGGCAGTTGATATCACATAACAGTCATGAGGTATATCTTACATTCTGAAATAGCTAAATGAAAGAGTCTGACATTTGAAAGGTAAAAAAGAATACATAATTTTATCATTTTGAATTATATTGTAATGCTTTAATATTGGTTTATGAACTCTGTCACAAATTACATGTATATTTACAAAGTACATGTAGTAGCATAAAGCCTTAACAAGGTCTTGTCACCTCAGTGACTTACTTGTTCTTATTTGTATTCTGTTCCTTTACAGCCCGTTGGCCACCTACAACAGTCTGACAGACAGAAACTTGGCAGGGTACTTCTCCAATATCCGCATGCGGCGCCACCTACGGAAGTCTGGACTGGTGAGTTCCTTTTCAGATTTATATACAGGAGAAATTGACACAATCTTTTGAAAATTATAAATCTACCTCTATGGTTGATGCTCAGCTACATGATACTGTAAAACATCCAGATTTTTTAGTAAGGCCAAATAAAATAATTCTTTGTTTTTGCTGTCACAACATACAACAAACCTTGGTAACTGCCTTAATGGAACTTTTTCGTCAAATTTTAAATAATCGCACTGCAAAGAAAATGCCTTCAAAAATGTTTAACAGAATAAAAGTTTCCTTTTTGTGACTAAGTACATGTATGTATGTTCAATATTTGAATTTAATGCTTATTTTTACAAATAAAGAATAATAGGTCTTTTACCATGCATTAGAGGTTTCTTACCAATGGATGAGTTAAAATTTATGAAAACCATATAGAATGGCTCACAAATATTTTGAAGGAATAGGTATTAATATTTTTTTGTCTAGCTGTAATAGGAATTAAAGCATGTTTTATGGGTTTTCTATATCTTATAAATAGAAATTCAAAAATGAGAAATATGTTATCAAGCTTCAAAGTTTCTGACCTTGCAAAACTTACAATCCTTATAATCTGTAAGGGTTTTTAATGCCCCACACCAAAGTGGTGCAGGACATATGTAGTGTTACACTGTTCTTTACATTAACATCAGTTTTGGTTTAGGTCAGTTATGAACTTAGTACATCAGCTAGGAATGTGGGAGCTAGGTGTCAGTGTCTTACAGACTCATTTCTGATTTTCATTTCTGACCATCTCTTGTTCTAACTATTGAGAACTACCACAACTGTTTCATGCTACAGATAAGTGGACGAGGAAGAATCGTCTCCGAGAATCAGTATAGGCTCAACATGGCACGCAAGGAACACAAAAGACATGTCAAGGACCTTCTGTCACAAGCCATCGTACACAAGACTCTTGACCTTGAGCGCACACGACAGGTTGAGATCAAACGCAAGCTGGAGGAGATTGGCAAGATTGAACTGGTTCGCAGAGTGAGAGTATGTATTGATTTCATTGGTCCGTTTTCACGAACATTTATTTCAGATAAAGAATTTAATGCATGTATGATAAATACAATGGCACAATGATAGATTACACTGTCAACAGTTAGAACTGTCAAGTTTTCCTATTTAGGTAGAAGAATGCAAATCAACTGTAAGTCAGTTCTTCACACAAAAAGTCTAGAATTGACTTATCTAGATCAGAATTGCTGTTTTGTTATGCATGTGTTGGATATAAAATATTACCTGTACTTTTACATAAGAACTACAACATGTGGATACAAGGTGTTTGGCTTTCAGGTACTGTTTTATAGTTTAGAAAAAATAAATTTTATTATAAAATTATGAAAGAAACAAATTTTAATTTCAAAGGTGTAATTTTAAATTAATCAACAGGTTGATGAGTCAATGGTAGGTTTTACTGGGACAGGTAAACATTGTAGAGGTGGTTATATAAGGCTCATGTATAATCTGTTGTCTGTCCAGCTGTCCATGAAGGGAAGCAGAATCATTGATATATCAGCCATATTGTCTGTCCCGTTGTCTGTATGGGAAGGTGGGCTTATTTGACTGTCCTGTTGTCTGTGTGGGAATCAAAGGTAGGCTTATTTGTCTGTCCCATTGTACGATGGGGATGTGGGTTTATCTGTCTGTCCTGTTGTCTGTATGGGAAGGTGGGCTTATTTGTCTGTCCTGTTGTCTGTATTGGAAGGTGGGCTTATTTGTATGTCCCGTTGTACGATGGGGATGTAGGTTTATCTGTCTGTCCTGTTGTCAGTATGGGAAGGTGGGCTTATTTGTCTGTCCTGTTGTCTGTATGGAAAGGTGGACTTATCTGTCTGTCCTGTTGTCTGTATGGGAAGATGGGCTTATTTGTCTGTCTTGTTGTCTGTATGGGAAGGTGGACTTATCTGTCTGTCCTGTTGTCTGTATGGGAGGTTGACTCATTTGTCTGTCCCATTGTCTATTTTGGGAGGTGTGAGGTCTGACTTTAGACTTGTCTGGCTTCCTATAGACTTAATGTTATACAACCAAATAAGTACATCTGTACGAAGTTCTAATACTATATACTGCAAGGTGTACAACTATATACTGCAAGGTGTACATCTATATACTGCAAGGTGTACAATTATATGCTGCAAGGTGTACAACTATATACTGCAAGGTGTTCAATTATATACTGCAAGGTGTACAACTATAAGGGGTACAACTATATACTGCAAGGTGTTCAATTATATACTGCAAGGTGTACAACTATAAGGTGTACAACTATATACTGCAAGGTCTACAATTATATACTGCAAGGTGTACAATTATATGCTGCAAGGTGTACAACTATATACTGCAAGGTGTACATCTATATACTGCAAGGTGTACAATTATATAATGCAAGGTGTACAACTATATACTGCAATGTGTACAACTATATACTGCAAGGTGTACAATTATAAACTGCAAGGTGTACAACTATATACTGCAAGGTGTACAACTATATACTGCAAGGTGTACAAAGTCTCATTACATTAACTATGCAAATAATGGATCTATTTTCTTATGTGGAAAATATGCGAAATTATCATCTTTTCAATTGCTTTTTGATTGAAGATGAATATTTCATTTATTCTATGTGAAAGTGATCTGAATCCATATTGGACCAATTCTTGATTATATTTAAATGTTTTGTATGCTTTGACGACTACAACACCTGAATACTGTAAGCAGATTATACCTGTATTGTAGGTATATGTTCACTGACAGTTCCTCTTCACAGATATAGCACAACATTTAAAATCCCCACTGAATCCCTAACATAAGAGGATTATAGTGTGAGATCAGAGGAATTATAAAAACTTTGAATATTTTCTCAGACTTATCTGTCTACTCTGTTTACAAATAAAAAAAGAAGATGACAGTATTATTGATCTATTTTCCATACATGTTGAAAGCAAACAATGGCAGTTCTTGAATGGTTTTCACTTAAACATAATTTGTACAAGAATGGTAAAATTGGCTGGCTTTGAAATTGGGTGACGCTCCTGTTTAATCTTCAAAGGACAGGTATCAGCCTAGCGATTGGTCAGGTGTTTTTTTCAAGAAACCAATCAAATGGTTAAAAATGAAATCTTCAGTTTAGACATGACATATTCCAGGGGTGCAGAAAATGTACATGAGCATAAACTCTGGAACTTTAAAGATGGTTATGGAGCAGAATACTTGTAATCTATGTTGAACCCAGTTTGTAGCTTGTTTATATAAACTGATCAGTATATATCTCTGGCTCATTACCTCTATCATCTGTTGGTTATCTGAGTTTCTGAGGTTGCGAATGAAATATCCTTCCAATTTCCACAATTCTTATTTTACTGCATATTGTTGACAGGTCATCAAAGACAGCTATAATTAATCTAATGGAGAATAAAGACTGTGAGTTTATTGGAGTTACATGATGTAAGAATGAAATAAAAAATACTATCTTAGACTTTTCCGGGTGTGAGGACCATGTGGAAGTAAAATGTTAGCAGAATTGTAGAAATAAGTTATATTTATCCTGATAAACATGTAACCTAAATTTGTGATGAAAGGAATGTTAATATCTACAGCCTTGTTGATGCGGTTAGAACTTTCTGTAGGTAAGCAGCTTCCAATGTATTATTTACGGGTACAGACAAGGTGGCTGGGTAGATAAACAGCTTCCCTGATACAGTATTAAAAACCTCCATTAGAAACGGGACACATTCCTCTGTTTGATTTGTATGATATTGATTTTGTCCTTTGTAAATTAATGAGACACATAAACACCTATGTATCCAGGGGAGTATTGTCGCTACGGAGACAGCAGTGTAAGTTAATGAGATACATAAACACCTATGTATCCAGGGGAGTAATTCGCTACGGAGACAGCAGTGTAAGTTAATGAGATACATAAACACCTATGTATCCAGGGGAGTATTGTCGCTATGGAGACAGCAGTGTAAGTTAATGAGACACATAAACACCTATGTATCCAGGGGAGTATTGTCGCTACGGAGACAGCAGTGTAAGTTAATGAGATACATAAACACCTATGTATCCAGGGGAGTA